CTGCCATGGAGCCACCCAACTATGGAGTCAAACCTCTACAGACTGTGAGCTGAAAGAAATCGTTCCTCCTCTAACTTGTGGGTGTCAGATATTTTTCCCAGCAAGGAGGAAAGTAACTGAGGAAAAATGACATTGCTTTGGAACATACTTCCTGGGAGAAGAATGTCTCATTTTACAATTGTGGATTCCATTCTTTGCTTCATTTCCTCCCTCAGTCTTGGGCACCTACCCACTATTCCATAGCTATATGTCTGTTCTGGTTTGGGCATTTTTTTTTCCTTTTAGCTCAGTTGTTTCGGATCCAGAGGTGACTACTGACGTCTTTATCTAACACCCTATTCCTGTAGTTTGAGGCACATTGACCCCTAGTTCTTCATACAGATCCAGCTGAATTTGAAGTGTAGCATCCTGGCCTTACAGCCAAAGGTGCTGTAGATTTAGTTTGTTGGAATGGGGAGGTGATAAGGGAAATTCCCTCTGACAAAACCAAAACACTTCTTTGTGTTTGCTTTGGCTTTTGCTTTTGCTTTTGCTTTTGTTTTGAGACAGGAATCTCAGAATCATCTCTCCTGGATGACATGCTCTTCAGCGCTGTGTAAAGCAGACCAAATAGAACTCACAGTGACGACTGGATGCATCCCTCTGGACCAAGGGTCCCTCACGTGGGCACTGGCTTACCCAGGGTAACTGCAGCCCTAATGTGTTCCTCCCTATGAGCTCAGCCTGTGTGTGTCAGGAATTGAGTAGCTCATGGCTGTCCAGTCTATTTCTACTTCCCTGGTCACCCCTCTGTCCCAGGACAGCTCCTCCTGACAGTGCTAGGTTCCCCTGTGCAGGGGAACCTCTTCCCATACTGCTGTGATCCCTTGATTCAGGTCACTTCCTTCTACTCTGTGACCCCTTGTCTTGGGCCACCTCCTCCCCGCCGTGCACAGACCTCTCTTAGCCACCCCCATGGCTTGTCAAGGACAGCTTCCTAAGAGTGCATGTCCTACTGTCACCATCCTTTACAATCTGGATCACCTGCAAATCTCCCAAACCATCAAATTACTACATAAGTTGCCACACCCTGATAGCTCAAAACCACACCTTCCAAAGGCCAGAAACCCGAAATCTGAAATTGGCTTCGTACTGTAATGAAGGTGTGGGCAGGACCTTGCTCCCTCTGAGGAGGGACCATGCCTTCTCCAGCTGCCTTGGATTTTCACCCTAATTTTCCTTTCTCTCCTCTGTCTGCACATGGCTTGCCCTTCTGTGTTTAATCTTCCTCTGCCTGTCCTGCAGAAGCATACTTGAGATGATTTTACCTTCCCATCCTCTCCCCATAAATTTTCTCATTTCATTCTGACATATGTCGATACCCAAGAAACCAATCATTATTCATACATTACAGCTGGGAAAGCTGAGGTTGGGGAAAGTGATGAGTGGATGGTTCTCCAGCCCTCAGTAGCTCTCCACAAAAACAGGCTGCTTGTAAATATGTCCGATCAGCAAAACCAAGACTGGGAGCGGGGCTGAAAGAGACTAGAGGGGATCAGGTTCCAAACCAGCACTTCCTGTACAGCCAATCCAGTTGAGTTCTTCTTTGTCACTTTCAGGGCCTTCATCTGCCTAGCTGAAGGAAGTGGCTGGAACAAACCCTAAAGCTACATCAGTTTCTCCAGCTATAAATCAGAGCTGTTTGCTGTCTGTTCTCCAGTGCTATGGTTTCTTGGACCCATTTTCTGGAGCTTGCTCTGCACTTCCAAAATAGTTCTGAGACAACCCAGGTATAAGCTGTAGAGGGCTCATCAGTTCTTTACAAACTCAAACCCCTTCTCTGACTCCTCTACCTAGGAGGACATCCTTAGAAAGCAAAGTTCCTCTTAGCATTCTGCTTGGGCCACTTACTTGTTTGAAATCATTGTCCTCACTTTCAGCACCAGACTCCAGCGGCTTCCCCAGGTCCCCATGGAGCCCAACAATGTATGACTGGGTGCAAGGGGCTGCACTAGGACAGAATTCAGTAACTCAGTCAAAGCCAGTGCAGGAAGGGAGGTAGAAGCAGTAGACAGAAGCCAGACCCAAGCCCAAGGGTGAAACGCAAAGGCAGACTGTGGGCTGCCAGCTCTGGCCTGGCCCTGGGAATGGAGTCTCTAAGCATGAGCTTAGCCTTCACCTGTGCCCAAGACCAGATCAAACACCGTCCCCAAACATGGGCCAGTGCAACCTCACCAGTGAACTCTGCCCACTTCCCAGAGCTCTTCAGCCTCATTACTCTCAGGGGTAAGGGAAAAGCCACCCCAGGCTGCCAGGGTAGAGGCCCAGCCAGTGGAGGCCCAGGCTCAAGGCAAGGCTATGGATCACAATGTGTTCTGAAAGAGTAGCAGGGCAGCCTGGAACCTGTGCTGTGCCCCTCCCTGCCATAGTGGCCTTGCTATGATAGCAAAATGAGGCATGCTGCCTGCAAGGGCCCCTGTGATTTGAGGAGACTCCAGCTCACAACCCCCTTGACTGGGGATTTTTTTCCTATCTCCTCCACACCTACTACTGCCAAAGCAGAAACACCCACCACTATTAATAAGTCCTGGGCCTCGCTCCCTGGTTTCAATGCTTCTCTTAAGGCTCTCAGTGGCTATGAGAGGGATGCATCTCAGAACTGAACCCTAGATGGGAGAAGTAGGAAGAGTTATTATTAGGCTGAGTCCCATAGCTGGGCAAGTAAGAGAGAGGGTGTGAGGCCCCTCCCCTAAGATCTGACTCGCTCAAATGCCTCCAGGACTCTGTGCAAGGATCTCAGCATGAAAAGGACTTGCTGTCCCCATCTTATTGGTGCTGCAATAGACATGATGGTCCTTCAGCCACACAGCATACTTCACGTGGCTGGCAATCAAGAAGCATTTACGGTGGCCAGCTGCCCTCATTCCCCACCTCAGGTACTCCCTAGGAAAGGGAGGGCTGCACAATGTCACCTCACCAGCAAATGGACTCCTGGATGGCACCTAGAGGTGTGATCCTGGCCAGGAGTCCAGGTCCCAAAGGCTAAGCATGCAGGATGAAGATTCTGTGCTTTGGTTAGCTGCAGGGGCTGTGGCCAGCAGCCCTCTCCGCCTGAAACATCTCCATCCCAAGTTAGAATCCAAAGTGACACCAAACTGGTAGCTTCCTGGGGCATGGCACAGACTTCTGACTCCATCTGCTGATTCTGGGTCCCAGGTCTGTCCTGCACTCAAGAGAGCTGAAGTGGGGGATGCGATTGCTTAGAATCTCTCTGTGCCCCTGCCAAGATGAAAGTGTCAGTGTGTATGTTGGTTGGGTGGGAAGCTAGAGTCCTTCTGGACCACACCTAATCTGGCTGCTGCCCTTAAAAGGAGAAAAGAGACAGGAGGTGTTCCTGTACGTTGTGCTCACCTGCAGGGGCAACTGATGCTGCCAGTAGGGGAACAGGGACCATTCAGTTCAGACACAGGCCCAGCCATGTGAGTCTTCTCCCAGCGGGCTGGGTTCCAGGGATATATTCTCCCACCTCCCCTGACCCTGCCCTGCCTTCAGAAGGTACCCTCAGGGAGTCTGGACTTCATCTTATTGAGGGCAGCCCCCTGGATGGGGTTAGCACAGGCTTGGAAACCAACTGCTGGGGTCAATTTGTGGGTACCAGGTCTTCTGGTAGCTGGCAGATCAGCAGGAGCCCAACCCTACTCACCCCCTGCCTGGAATAGGCCTCAGCCTCTGTCCCACCCAACATGCACCTCCTGTTTTTTTCACCAACATCCAGCATCCACAGGCTCTGGTGAGCTGTGGGCAGCTGTCCCTTACCCCCGCCCCCGAGGACCATCCTCCACCCCATCCCTGGTGGGGTTGCTGCTGTAGGACCTATTTCAGGTGGCCAAGTGTGGGCATGAAACAAGGCTCCAGAAGTGCTTCTCTTAGACAGGATATGCCACATGGGCCACTCTGGAGTTGGGCTGAGGGCTGGGGCTAGGAGCACCCAAAGCATGAGCAAGTAAAGCCTCATCCTGCCACAAAGCACGTAGGGTGTGGCAGGGAGCCTGCAGTTCTTTGTCCTGTGACTTGTCTCTCAGGCTGGGGTCCAGGAGTAATGCTGGTTGAGACTACTCTCTGTCATTCCCCAAACCCATGGCCCTGCATACAAGAAGCACGCCCTTGGATTCCTGGTCACACCTATTTATTTAACAGAAAAAGTGGGGTCTTTCAGTGGGGCGGCATTTGGAGACATGGGAGGGCAACACTGCAGTGTCAGAAGGGTCTTCCAGCTCTCTCACTGGCATCGTGGTTGGTATTGCAGACAGATGGCACCTTGAGCAGAAGTGGGATGCAGTGAAAGGAGGCACCTGAAAGGAGACAGCAGGGCAAAGATGGCCGGGGTTTGCAGTCAGGGGAGTGGAGGCGCAGAACAAAGGCAGCCCTGAGACTCCCAGCCCACCGCGCCCTGACCTCCCATCAGCCCTCTGCCCAGCCACACTCACTTGCCATTCAGTCATCGATGCACCTCTCTGTGGAGGAGAAACAACATCAGGTCTGGCAAAGGTGTGTGTGTGTGTGTGTGTGTGTTTCATGTCTCCATGCTAGGACGCCTGCATTGCCATTGGCTGCCTCAAGTTCAGCCTGAGGCAGCTGAAAAGGTTTTAAGGGTTCCATGAATTCAGAGCCAAAGGATGGGCAATCGAAGGCTGTGCTTCACAGCTTCTCTGCCATAAAGTTTTTTACCTGGTGGTGGCCCTGGTGGTATCAGCATTGGCCTGTGTGGCCCGGGTAGAGACCCTGGTCCAGGCCAATCCACTTCATACAAAAGTCATCTCTGCTTCGGTAATGAGCAAGCCCCAGGGAAAGGTGGAGCTGGCCCAGCAGAGTAAGACCCACACTATGGAGAGGAGGTGGCACAAGAAAGTGAGACTCAGAAATGTGGATGTGGGTCTAAAATTTTCATCTGTATATGACTTGTCTAAACTATCACAGGGAACGTTTTGGGTCAGAAGCCCTGGGAAGCAATACACTCCAAGTTAGGAGTCACCATTCCTCCAGTGACTGGGCCAGGAGGCTGAGGGTCTCCTGCATTCTTTTCCTGGTGGGGCCGCATCGGTGCGGACAGACCCCGCATTCCCATCCCCTCTCCCCAGCTCATAATTACCCATGGGGTCGAGGAAGAAGATGTTTTTATCAGCGAAGCCCAGAGTCATGGCAATCTTGACAAAGCGCTCCTTCAGTTCAGGACTCAGCACCATGGTCCTCCCTGTAGCCAAGATCGAGGTGATTGGGCAACAGAAAGAATTTTGTAATTCATTTTAATTTTTTTTCACATAAGGTCTTTCTACATTGTTCAAGGCCACCTTAAACTTGCAATCCTCCTGCCTCAGCCTACCCAGTGGTATAATGACAGGGATGGGCCCTGCCTCACTGCATAAACTCTGCTGCGTGAGTGGAGGAGGCCTCAGACCTCTTTCCCATGGGAAGTCTGTGGAAAGACCTCCTCCCTGAGAGTGGGGCTTGAACTAGAGGAGACATTGGGTTTGGGGGGAATTGGAGCTCCCTCCTGCAACTCTGACCAGGACCCAGGTCCCCACGGGGATGGAATGACAACCCACCTAAAAGAGTGACCACCAGCTGCACCCTGTCTTTGATAATCACTTTGAAGAACACGATGGCAAACTGCTTGTAGTCGGTGGCTACCACTATCATGGTGAAGTTCTGTATTTCGCTGAGACCTGCAGTGTATAAGACAAGGGCTTATCCTTTCCAGAGCAGGAGGAAGAGACTGTCCCCTTCCAGCCAGTTAGCAGGGGCTTCTGCCCGCAGGACTGCACCTGTGTAGAGGAGCAGGGAGGGCTGTGCCCTTGCAGGAGCGCTCTGCCTCCCACATCCCAACCCCAGTCCACCCCGCCAGGACTCACTTGTATTATCCACCATGGTGAACTGGCTGGGCTGCCCACTTGGGACTACAGTGTTGCCCCAGTGCTCACAGTCCTGTTTGCTGTGCGAGTGAGAGAAGATGGGTAGTGAACGGGGAGAGGACACAGTCTGGGTCCCCCGGGCTATGTGAAGTTGGGCTCTGGCTGCAGCAGGATTCTGCAGTCCCTGTCCAGCCCAACCCATGACAGCCTCTCCCCGACCATGACAGGGGCCCCGCATCACCCACATCCACTGCCCTGATCCTGGCCGTTTAGCAGCCCCTGGCCAGGCCCTGACTAAGGCTGCTTTGCTGCCTCCTAAGGTGAGGCTCTCTGAGTCAAGGTCCCCCAGGCTGTGATGAGACCAATGTTTATTTTAATGATGGTGGAGGTTGCGGTGGCAGCAGTACAGGTGTTTAAACAAAGGGCCTTGCCGGGCATGGTGGTGCATGCCTGTAATCCCAGCACTCAGGAGGCTAAAGCAGGAGGATTGTTGTGAGTTCAAGGCCAGCCTGGGCTACAAAGGTGAGCTCAAGACCAGCTAAAACTGCATAGCGAGACCCTGTCTCAAATAAGGCAAAAAAAAAAAGTCTTGACACTTACAGCAATTGCCCTTTTTCATTTTTCATTTTAAGACAAGGTCTCCTTACATTCCCCAAGTTGTATTCAAACTTGTTATTCTCCTGCCTCAGTCTAGGGAGCTGAGCTTAGCAGGATTATGGGCATATTGGCTCTTTTGAGGTCACATCTCTGTAAGCCCTAGAAAGAGGCCCTGGGTAGGATCCCTTGCTGGGTCCAGTGTCCCTCCTCCCCTCTGCAACACTCTTTTCTTGTTTTCTCCTGTGTTTATCCTGCACCCACTTATGAATTTTAGTGGAATGGAAAGAGGAAGAGTTGGAGGGAGCAATAAAATGCAAAAGCAGGGGAAGTGGGAAGGGAAGGAGAGACAGAGGAACAGAGGGGAAAAGATTGATTTGGTGCAGAGCAGTGAAATGAATGAGTTTCCCTCATTTTGTAAGCTCCTTGGTTATGTACGGCATGTTTCTACCTCTCAGACCCCCAGGAGTTGTCACTTACCGGAGCCAGGTGGAGACGACACTGAAGCTGTGGTTGGCTTCAAGCTTATAGGTGATTCTGTGCATGGCTGGTTTGCCTTCCCTTTGAACTGTGTTCTCTGCCCCACCAATGGTGAACCACTTCCCCTGAAACTGCAAGGGGGGAATGACAGGCGAGCTTAGGAAAAGCCCCTGAGCCACCCCCATGTGGTCCCTGCTGGTACCTCTGGGAAGTACGGCCCATGAATTGCCTGCTCTGAGGAGCTCACAGAAACTTGGGTCCTCCAGGGCTAAGAGGCACACTGGATGAGGAGTTAGACTTGAGCTGTCAGGAGTGGGATGGTGCTCCCAAGAGGCTAGCGGGTGTTAGAGAACCTCATTTTTGCAGTAAACAGGGACTAAAGTTGTCCTCACCAAACATGCACAAGTCCAGGCCTCCCCAAGTCCTCCCACTGAGCAGTGCCCCTGAGTCCATTTACCTCTTGCACACTCTTCCCACAGTCACTGTCTTCTGAGACCCCATATAGCTGCCTTCCCAGAATCCTACCTTTTTGTCCTGGAAGTCTGGCTGCCGGGGGACCTCACTCAGAACTGAGCTCTGGGTCATTTCCAGAGTAGAATCCTTGGCTTGGGTCTGCCAGGCCCCCATCAGGATGAGGCCAAGACACAGGAGACCCGGGGCCATTGCTTTAGGGCAGCTGTTGGGCTGGCGGGTACTGGAGAAGGAAGTGGAGGTCTGAGCACAAGCAGTGGAAACTATTTCTGGTCTACAGTCTGGCTCCGCCCTAGGCTGGGCTGACCCTTCCACTGGCAAATCCACCAGTGGTGAACAAATTGCTAGCAACTTCTTCAGAATCACATGGCAGTATACGATTGCCCAGGGTTAGGATTGTGCAAGGTAGAAAAACAGCAAGGTGACAGGAGAAAGGAGGGACATACACAGACCTCCACAATGTGTCAGAGAAGAGCTTTCTCCGTGAGCTCACTGTGCTTCTGCCCTTTATCTCATTGGCCCTGTCTGTGGGTCAGCAGCTAGAATTCAAACAACCTGCCATGTCTGATTCTGTGAGCACAGTGTGTGTGTGTGTGTGTGTGTGTGTGTGTGTGTGTGTGTGTTAGAGAGGCAATGTCGATTTACTGTACCCACAAAGTACAAAAAACATGCCAGGTATGGTGGCCCAGGCCTACAATACCAGCACACAGGAGGCTGAGACAGAGGGATTTTTGGAATTTTGAGGCCATTCTGGGCTATACAGTGAGTTCCAAACCAGCCTAAATCACAGAGGGAAACCCTCTCTTAAAACAAGAAAGAAAGAAAGAAAGAAAGAAAGAAAGAAAGAAAGAAAGAAAGAAAGAAAGAAAGAAAGAAAGAAAGAAAGAAAGAAAGAAAGGGAGAGAAATCACTGTGTGCCTTCCTTTAGGTCTTGGGTCCTTTTGGAGCTTGTAAAGGTCAAGGAATGGTGGTACAGCAGGCAATGGACATTCTGGACAGAGAAGGACAGGGTATCTGCCCTGAGTCTCCTAAGCCCAGGTCCTGGCCTTCACAGGAGCCCTAGGCCAAGCTCTAAAGCAGGGTGTGATATCTTGAGCCCCTCTCCTTCCCCACACCTCTGCCCCCATTTATAGGAGCAGACAGGATAACAGGAGACCTTTGGGGAATTGCATTCTCTCATGAGAGCCCAGCAAGTAAAGATCCAGAACCAGGTCATGGGCCATAGATGTGGACACAGACAGAGCTGAGTGCTAAGGCATCAGTCACAGTTGAGAGCTGAGCCCGGGTAAGTTGAGAGTAGGGGATCTGCAGACAGGAACCTCCCAGGGTTAGATAGGCTGTGCTCTGGTGCTATATCCAGCAGTTGCATGAGGTGCCAGGATTTTACCTTTTCCTTGAGAGATCTTTCAGAGCAAACCTCTGTCTCTGGCTACATCTGTGGGCTGAGGAGCCCCTTGGGTATCAGAACTGTCCCTGAGATGGCTGATCCCAGACTCCTCTATGAGAAAGGCTGTTTCCTCACTGGGGCTCCAGCCAGCATCCTGGGGAGGCAGCAATGAAGCTCAGGGCCTATGAAGTGACCTTTAAGGATGGCTCACCCATGAAGGCCATGACATCATGGATGCTTGAGTTGAGGCTGGACTGGGATTCTGGCTTTGTGTGGGTTCAGAGGGGCACTCACTCATTCTACTCTTCTGCTTTTTATGTCTCTGTCTGAACTCTGGGGTCATCGCCCTCAAGGAAGCGGCTTCACAGGAGGTCTCTAACTGTTGAGTAGTGTGCACACCAGACATCCCTCACTGTACCCTCCCCACCTGGGCTGGATGATGTAAAGACAGGAAGTGAAGCTGAACAGAGCAGTGGCCACAAGATCCTGCCACACACTCCCGTCCCCCTCCCTGTCTTCTCCCAGCCTTGGGAACTCCACCACCACATCTCCCTATAATCTAGAAATATATCCTCAGCTGGGCCTTGTAGTTTATGTCTGTAATCTCAGTACTACAGGAGGCTCTGGCAGGAAGATTGCAAGTTGGACCCAGCCTAGATCACTTACTGAGACACTGACTCAAAATGGAAAATAAAAGTAGTACTTGACCTCTCCTTTGGTGAATGAAGCCCAGGGAAGATCCAGGAGAGCATGGGGAGCACTGCTCAGCCTTTTGTTTCAGGATCAACTTAGAAAGTAAGGCAGGAGCTATGATATATTGGAAAATACATTTAATTCTACCAAGGTTATATTTTCTGCTAAGTCATTCGTTTCAGGCCTGTGACATATACCTGAGAGTGACATTTGAAACATAGAACCTGTCACGGTGAATATTCTGAACTGGAAGAAAAAAATGGGTAAAAATAATTCATAACACAGAATTTTACCTTGGGTAGGAAATGTCCCCAAAAGACGAACTCGTGCTGATGAAAGCTCCTGTGGTTATTTCAAGAACACTGATTGTTAGACAACAAAAATGAAAACTTGGATTGCAACAGTGATTTGCACAACTGAGGCCCAGAATAAACCTTTTCCCCTTAAAGTTGTTGCCATTGAATATTGTGTCCATGCAATGAGAAAGTAACTAAGAGATGCCCTAGCTTTTTTCCTACTGAAGCCCTTTCACAAAACTTTTATGTCCACCCACAGTGGCTGAGCTAACTGCCTCCTAAGATCCCAATCTATTGATACTATCACCTGGGCTCTTAGTTTCCAACATATGGGTTTGACAGGGACATATATATCCAAACAACAGCAGCAGCCTTGCCTTTTGGAGCTTTCTACCCCTTTGCCCAGCCCTAGAGGAAGAAGGTTGTGCCTCCATGCTTGGTCCTTAAATAAGAGCTGGCCTAGGATCAGCACAGGGTCATAGAGGAGCATGGGAAAACAACAGAGACAAAGAATGGCTTGGGGCCTGGCTGAGGGATGGAAAGTAGTTGGTGCCATCAGAGACTGGGGCTGAGAGATGGGCAGGAACAGGGGTCTCAGAAGCCAGGCTTACTGGGTGTCATATTTGCTCAGACTTGAGATTTGACTCCACTCAAGACTTGGGCCTTGACCTGCTTCTCTGGTCATGAAGCAGGATATGCCCAGGGCTGGCCACAGCTTGGGGTCCCCTGCATGGTTCAAGGGCAGTGAGGCAGAATGGGGACTGCACAGAAAGGTGAATGCCATCTTACCCATGATCAAAGGAGAGCTTTGCCAAGTACTTGGGCAGAGGGGCTGATCACGAGGTTTCTCCCTAGATTTAATAAGGAAGTAGTCAAGTTTATTAAAGAGTTTGAGAAGCATTGGCACTAGATCTTCTCTAAAGTTCTTATAGAATTCAGCAATGAATCTGTCTGGACCTGAGCTTTTGTTAGTTGGTAGTTTTTTATTATTTCTTCAATTTCATTAGCTGACATTAGATTATTTAGAATTTTTATATCATTTTATTCAACTTTGGTATTTCCAAAGTATAAGTTCCCATAAGTATGGTATGGGAACTCTGGTATGGTCTTACTGGCCTTATCATTTAATAGTAGAAACTGTCTAATTTCTTCCTTAATTCTGTCTGTGACCCATGGGTTGTTCAGTAAGGTATTAAGTAATTATAATGTATTTTGTGGTTTTGTAATGGCAAAAATCTGGCTGTATTCCATAAGAGACCGAAGGACTTTTTAGAACAAATAGAGTTTTATTAATTAGACCAGTCACTTCTCATCCCCGACTTGCAGGTCAGGAATGTGGGCATGAGCCTGTCTTTGTTCCCACCTTATGTACATTTTTGGTTTCCATGGTAACAGATTGGAATGTTGTAGCCCTGGCCACACATTGTTTTCCTTGTGCCACATAACTGGGTCAGCTCTGGTCATGAGCCCAACCATAATGATTTATACTTTCTGTACTCTGTTCTATATGTCCCCCTTTAGATAACTGTACATTTCCTTTATGGTTACAATGTTTATCTAGGGCCACGAAAGGGATGAAACAACCCAGGCAGGGTCATAGGTGGTTATCTGGGCCCGGGTGTTCTTTGTCTTTGGAGAAGCATTCCAGGGCTGAGTCAGGACTGCAAAGTTAACTTTTTTATAACCCCTCTGGGATGTTTCTCAAGATACATTTTGAGGCTTGCACTAAGACTAGAATTATTTTATCTTAAAATGGTATGCTGAGTCACCATCCCCCACAGTTTCTTTTGCCCTTGATTTCCAATTTCATTGCACTATGATCTGATAATATGTATGGCATAATTGCAATTCCTTTGCATTTATTTAACCATGTTCTATGAGCTAGTATGTGGTCTATTTTTGGAGAAAGTCCGATGTGTTGCCGAGAAGAACGTGTTCTATTGCTGTTGAGTGGAACACTCTGTGGATATAAGTCCGTTTGTTCAAAGGTTTGTTTCAACTAAAAGTTGTTTGTTGATTTTTTTTTTTGTCTATTGCTCTCTTTGTGACAGTAGAGTGTTGAAGTCCCTATTATAGTTCTATTAGTGTTTATCTGATTTTCATATCCATTAGTATTTCCTTTATATAGTTGAGTATAGTGCCATTTGGTGCATATATATTTATAATTGTTATCTCTTCTTCTTGGATTGTTCCCTTAACAAATATGTTAGTGACCTTCTTTGTTTCTTCTGATCAGTCTTGGCTCAAAATCTATGTTGTAGATTAGAATATCTACTCCTGACTTTTTCTGGGTTCGGGGTTGCATGGAGTATTGTTTCCCTCCTTTGACTTTTAGTCCATGAATTTCTTTTCGAGTTCAATGTGTTTCTTGTATGCACCATACTGTTGGATCTTGTTCCTTGATCCGTTCTGTCAACCTGTTTCTTTGATTGGTGAACTGAGACCATTTACACTGATGGTTATATGTGACAAGTATTGACATCATTTTCATTATATTATCTTCCTGTTGTTGGTTCCCTTTCTTTCCCTTCTATTTAATTGCTTGCCTTGCCTGGTGGATTGATTGTACTGAGATTCTTGGCATTGTTTTCTTTAGTGTGTTTTTCTAGAATATCCTTCAGAACCCTTTGGAGTGCTGTTTTGGTGGTCATGAATTTCTTCTGATGTTCTTTATATGGAAATATTTTATTTTTCCATCAATTTTGAAAGATAATTTTGAGATTACATCAATCTGGGTTGGAGGTTGTTTTCTTTTAGGGCTTGACATGCTTCACTCTAAGCTTTCCTTAACTTTAGGTTTTGCACTGAGAAATCCG